GTAAAGGTAAAAGTTTTGTAACAAAAAAGGGTGAGTGGAGTTAATCTTACATTCCAGGCACAGAGGACCCTAGGACGACCATCAAGGGTGAAGAGCCTGAGCAGAATGTAGGACCCTATCCAAAGAAGCAGAGATGAGGACATGGAGGCATAGAGCAGCTGAGGACTCTAGACTCATGGAAAGAGAAAGGCTGTATGCTGGTGGCCAGGAGGCAGGCTTGCAGAATGTGCCCTTTGATTGTTTAAATGATTATATATTCCTGAGTGTTTCTGTGTACATCCAAAAAAACAACAAAAGAAAAACAACAGAGGAAACAGAAGCAACTACTGTTGAATGATGATGCATGGAGAAGATTGTAATCATTGCAATGAAACAAGTGTAAAACCAATGTTCCCCCATGTAAACTAACATTCAAGTCACAATAAAAGTAAAAAAAAGAAAAAAGTAATAATGACAAATGTAAAATAATTGAGAGTGGATTACTAAAGTAGTTTTACACATTATCAACATCTGGGCAAAATTATTTTAAGGTTGGAATTATGAAGCTAATAACCATAGCTAAACAGTACTTGAGTACTGGTGTGGCACTGCAGGTTAATGTGCTGGACTGCAAAGTCAGTTTGAACTGCAAGGTAGGTGGTTCAAGCTCATCAGCCACTCCTCAGAAACCCTATACAGGGTGGCTATGAGTCAGAACCCATGCCACAGCATTTAATAACAACAAGAAGAGTATTTATAGACATAGACTAATATTTATATCTGTTGTTGTTGTTATTAAATGATGTCTCATTGGTTCAGACTCTACAGTGAACCTTTATATAAAGTTCCCAATGAGTAGATGATGAGTTTAAATCACAGACCTTGCAGTTCACACAGACCCTGCGGTCCAGTGCCTGTCCTACAGTGCCACAACAGGACTCCTTGCACACCCCAAATTGTAATAAACTAAACTGATGCTTTAAAAAAAAACCTGCCACACTCCCAGCTAAGGTTGTTCACAATATAAGTACATTTGTGCTATCTTTCAGTAATCCAGAACTTGATTGGAACTTAATCCAACAGCATTTTAGGAGGTTGTGGAATAACACCCACTTGTTTGTGGATATTCATCAGCTACATGCTCAAATTTCTGATATAAGTAATTATCAAGTTGAGCACTGAGTGGCTACTAATTTGCTACCCCTGCTAGAGATTAAGATCCCCTAAGAGCTTGACTGAACCTCAGCATAGTGACCCTGCTTGGTCACCTTAGAGCAGGTGGTGGTCTGGCAACGTCTTGCTTGTGAGGTCCCCAGCCGGTCTCCTCCCCCACTGCCTTCTTCAGATGGCGGCTGTTTATGCTGGACGTGTGGCCAGAGACGGGTAAGGATCACGTGGAACCTCGGCAACCTAAGACAGAGCCATTGCCATGCTGCAATGAGTTTCGATGACAGTTAAGACGGAGGAATTCGCACTGACCACCTAAGACAGGCAGCATCCCCTAAACAAATAATAAATAAGGGGGAAACGGATGTAGACCGTGCAGACCCAACCAGGAGTTCAAGGCCCTGTGGGCCCAAGCGTTGCAGACCGTCCAAACCATAGGCTCTGAGGATCAGACTTTAGCCACCTAGCAGACATAGCAAACTGTCCCTCATCTGATTATTCAGTTATGCTTGTTAGTAATCGCATATATGAGCCCTGGATATCCACAGATAAATGTAAAAACCTTCCCTAAAAGCCGAGACTGTAAATTCCAAAAAGGCAGTTTCCCCTGCTCGGCCCCCCACACACACAAAAAAAAAAAAAGGAGAAAAGCCAAAGAGGATAGAGAGAAACACTGTTGACTGATGATGTATGGAGGGGATTGTAATCAATGTAATGAAACAAGTCATATGAATGGTTGAATGTGAAATTGATGATGTGCCCTGTAAACTTTTACTCAATCCACAATAAAAACCTTAAAAAAAAAAAAACCTGCCATGACTTTTTGCAACTATTTCCTGTTGTAGAATATTTATATTGAAAATACTAGTCAAGATTGTGGATGATTATATACCTCTTTGTAACGAACGGGAATTTAGGCTTTAAATTCTTACAAGGATGATTTTGGAACCAGGTCTCCAGTCTTGCTATTCATTAGCTGTATGAGGTTGAGTAATCTGTATCTTCATATCCTTGTCTATAAAAGAGTTAACAATTGTACTTATCACAAAGGATCATTGTGAGGACTGAGTTAATTTTTAAAAGTCACTTAGCAGTGCCTACCAGATATAAGTCATGGTGTTGTGCTATAGGATAAATACTGGACTACTATATACAAGGTCAGCAGTTAAATTCACCAGCTGCTCCTCAGAAACCCTACACAGGGTCACTATGAGTGGAAATTGACTAGATGCCACTTCACAACAACAATTGATTGTGCAGAATCCTAGTGTGGCACTGTAGAGAAGCACCAACCAGCCTACTAATCCAAAAGTTGGTGGTTGAAACCTACCAGCTGTTCCTCAAAAACCCTTTAAATGGTCTATCTGAGTTGAAATCAACTTGACAGCATTTAACAATTAATTCTGCAACAATTCATATGAGAAAAGTAAGATTACGTACAGAGCACTGAATCAGTTATAAACATTAGCACCAGATATTATATTATATAAATTATAAAACAAAAGGAAGGCTTTTTCCACTAGAAAGATTATTTGATACCACCAGTAAAATTCAACACCTTTTCTAATATTCAGAACCTGATTTGCAAAGGTATCACAAATAAGATACATCAATACCAGTAAAGAACAACTAATTCTCTGCTACCCTTGGGTAAACGCACATGGCACAGTACAGGCACTCAAATAAGCCATCTGGGATGAGACTAAACAGATTCAAATCTTAGCCTAATGGCTAGTGTCATTAACTCTTGCAAACAGTTACAATCTCCAACTCTTAATTTCACCTTAGAGTAGGGTATCCTGCAGGCCTGACAAAATACAATCCAGATGGAAACATTCATTGTTTTTATTATTATACTTTTTTACAGTACATAATACTCTTTGT